GACGTAATAATATTTAAGGACAAGATACAGCTAAGTTAAAATAATGATGATTAAACTTTTTATTAACAGAGTTTTTAATTATGTGTAACTTCAGGCTGTTAAGTGTGAGAACTTGAAAATCAAGACTTTCAGAGGTCGTCTTTGCTAACTAAAGGCAGGCAGAGGTGGAAAATAGGCAATGATTGCAGGCACAGTGTGTGAACTGTAAGTTCAGTGTGACTGGAGAGTAGGATTCTCGTTTGCAAAAGGTGTCAACGTGATGTTTACCCTACTTAGAAAATCAGATATAGAAAAAGATCTGTTAAAAAGTGATATTGTTTTATTTCTTCCCCTAATTCCAGGGGTTTGGTTACACTAGAATTTATACTAGAATTACTTGGTTACATTAGAATTACTCTTTTTGCACTGACACTGCTATTTTTTTTTATTTGAAGTTTTTCTTAAAAACTTTACGTTTCTATTATAAAGAGATTTCTGTAATGTTATTGATTGTCCTTGAGGTAGATGTTAATATGTGTTTTCTAAAAGCAGAAAATGAGCTGGTTTAGCACTACCGATGTATGTAAGGTAGACCCATTTTCTCTGAATTCTCTTTGCATCTGTCTTTATAAAATGACAATGTTATTTTAGCTGCTACTAGGCATCTTAACTTTTCCGTGTCCTTGTTTCCGTAGTATATTAATCTGCATTATTTTTATAGCTTGGCTTGTTATCTTTTGCTAATTCTGAATTTAATCTGTCCAGATTTTTTTTAGTATTCTTCCTTGAAGCCTGTTTGTGGTTTTAGCTTGATGCTGTTACTGTTAAGCTGCTATTTCTGTTAGAGATTGTGTTTTGAGATGTAAGTAGTTACTTTGGTAACTTGTTTTATGGCAAAGCAATGTGATTGTGACATCTTTTTCCTCTTCTTAGCTTCTGTTTGAGCCTTGTTAGTCAAAAATGGTCAGTGCTGTGAAGTGATTGATTATTTACTGGTTCAGGTGGCTGCGAGATGTGCTCGCTTTTGGTCGTCTGCTGCTGAGATCTCCCCAGGTGTTGTGTCGGGAAATATTGAGGCAAGGTGCCCAGAAACCAGTACCAAAAGGATGCTGGAAATCAGTCCTAAATCAGAGCCCAAAGTCGAGTGTAAATATTTTAACAAAGAGAACGCTCACATCTTCTGGATAGGAAGAGAATAAACTAATTTGAGGGAGAAGGATTAGATTTTGCTTGGGGATTTAAAAAGGGAGATTTGGCAGAGTACACCAGCTTTTGTAGCCTGAAGAAACCCTCTTTAGTGGGGCAGCCTCAGGCAGGCGGCGTTCAGCGTGGCACGCTCCGCCAGCCGTGTGCCAGGGAGGGCTGCAGTAAATCAGCTGCGGAAAGGTGGGCAAGACCTTTTTGGTTCCATCTTAGTACAAGTCATTTCAGCAGAGAGTTTCTGTTTCCTTTCTTCACCTGTATCTCTTACAAACATCGGGAGTATAAACACTGTCTATTTCAGAATTTGTGAATAAATCTGGTGGGTGTTTTTCTTGCCTTTTGTTTTAACTTGCTTTGACTGCAGACAGCTTCAAGATAACAAGTTTTGCCTGAAGATACAACAAAACCACAGTCAGTGTGCCGAGGAAGCCTTGGCAAGGGCTGCGATTCCTCTGTGAAGCCTTCAGACTATCCAAAGGGAAGCTCCGTCATGAGCGTTGGGTTAGAAAGCGGCGTGTTGTGCTAACCAGTGAGAGCCAGAATGGTTCCCTGATGTGCAGCAAGATTTTGGGAGCTTTCAGCGTTCAGACACGCTCCTAAGTTGTTTGTCACAGCCAGTCATTGTGAAAACTTGGTCTTGGAGCTCCTTTTTAGAGGTAGCTCTGAATACTTACCTCTAGACTGTAAAATGTCTCTCGAGGAAAACAGACTTTAACAAAACTTTCGGAAGACTCCTCTACGGTTGATGACCTTTCTCCTACTATCCTGTTATTTTTTGGAACTGCAAATGCCTACTTAGGCCTTCAGATGATGTTGAATGGTTAAGTTTTTCACCGATTTCATAATTGGTGTGTGAAAACTAGATGATGTGAATTGCTTTATTTTCAAAAGTCTGCGAGTCCCGTTTTGGAACTCTCTTCTAAATCTGTTGAAACTAGCGTACTTTGTATATCGTTAACCCAAATTAGTGCATATTTCCTTTGTGAAAGACCAAAGAAAACCACTCTTAAACAGTTCCAGACAGACTATACTGTGCTTAGAAAGCCAATTATAAACTGTGAGATCAGTGAGAAAAAAAAACTTCAGCAGTAAAAGACTTTTCATCAGGATATCTGCAAATATTTGACACTGACTTCTTGTCTTGGTTTATACAAGTCAGACTCAGAGTTGTAGAGCAGTATCAAAGGTAAATAATCCGTCTTCGTGCGAAACTGTGGGACCTGAGGAACAAGAGCGTGTCTCACAGTGTCACTAGTTTTTCTAAGTGTACCTTCAGTTGGGCCCTAATGAGTGACAAAATTTGCGAGGTTAAATTATATCTGAAATGTGTATCTTTCTGCAAGAATTTGGTTAAGTTTTGTTGATGAGAACCCACTGAAGGTAATATTGGTAACTTGAAGGAAACTGAAAAACTTCAATCAGCCTTTGGTTGTGTTTGTAGTTTGGCTGAAATAAAGCAATTTTCATGTGTTTGGTGAATACTTGAATATTTAAACCTTCTGCTTATTACATACTGGGTACAGATTTGGTTCAAAGTCCATGTGAGCTCCTACAAAGTTTGTGAAATAACATAGTGGTATACTTATAATTTAGGTGGGCACAACTTTTTAAAGGTATTATCTGGCATGAACTGCAGGGTTCCACTGTGTTTATGAAGAGGGGAGAAGACTGTAGGCAGCACCCTCCATCCCTCCATGGAAGTGGTGCTTATTATAATCTAAAAGGGAAAGCCAACTGAGCATACCACGACTTGTCTTTTGTGCGGTCTTTGTTATTAGCATAGCCAGAGACCATAGACCTGTTTTCTTCAGCATTTAACTCTCAAGGTGAAAATATTAATTCTCTTTTTCCTTCTGTTTCTGCAGCTTGTTATCACTTAGTTGAGGATCCCTCACGTGTTGGGTTTAGTTCAAGAAAGTCAAAAGGAAACTGGTTTAGAAAGTTTTCGATTGTACCTATAATAGAAAACAATTAAACTTATTTTGGAGACAATAGAACACACAAATTAATATGAGGTAGTTATTGTAAATGTATAATATGTGGTTTAGGGATTAATATTCTTAATTACTTTGAAGAAATTAATTAAAAGAGATTCTTGAGTTTTAAGGAGCTCAATGCTAACATCTATTCAAGTGTAATTATTATGTGAATTACTTTAAAGTGAACTTTTCATGACTCTAATGATAAGTGTTCTACTGAAAAGCTGTTTCGTTGACTTTAGTAACGGTGTTTGTAGAAATGGCAGATGTGATTTGTCCTGAAGCGTTTTATCAAGCTGGTCAAAATTCTACAATTAGACATAAACATCTATTTCATATTCTGTAAGACGACTGTGTACAATAAAAAAAAAAAAACAGCCCTGTATGAAGTTACCCATTGCATCTCTTAACCTCTTACATTCCCCTTCCCTTAGTTTTTTTCCTTTTTCTTTTTTTTTTAAATTAAGGGATTTTTTTAAATTTAAATGAGGGAAAGACAACTTTACAGCATAAAGATAAGCCAAAGAGAGTGTGTTTATGGGGGTGGGATGTGGGAGCGTGGTATGCAGGTGGAAGCCCTTCAGACACTGGATCCAAAGTATTGGAAAATGTTTGCGTTGCTGCTTTCCTTGGGGCTGCATGGCTTATGTGACTGCTGATCTCAACTGCTGTTGTATGCTGTAGGGAGAAGAGTTGTCTGTAAAGTACTTAAAATCGTGAGTTCTTTCAAGTACCAGGCTGGGTACTAACCCATAAATATGTTTCTTTCTGTCGTGGTTTACTTGTTTTCTGTTGTTCTAGCTTTGTCTCCGATTTTACTTACAAGTGCCAGAAAGGCCTCTTTCTTCTGTCTGCAGTGATGATGAGGAGGCTTTTAGGTTTTTAAACTACGGCAGCAACTGCAAATATTTTGAGAAAGATGTAGCTAAATGCAATATGATAAAATTGAGGAGGGGAAAAAAACAGGAGGAGGAGAGCATGTAAAGAAACCTCTTGGTTAATTTTAAAGAACTGGTTTCTTTGAAAAGCTGTGAAACTAGAACATACACATTCTTCTTACGCAGTAGTGTTGACCTATTAGTTTCCATGGAAGGGCTCTAATCTCAGCCCCTGGGACCTTCTACCCCCTCAGTCCTTTTGAAGTTCGTAGTAAAATTACCTCAATTACAAAAAAAAATGCTCCAGGGAAGGCGAATCTTTGAAAATAAAGATACTATTTCATATGTATTCTTCTTTACAGTCTGTTATTGTTGTTTTAGCGTTCCGATTGAAAGATTAAAAATCTCTGTCGGTAGCTCCCAAGGCCTGGCTTCAGTGACAATGCTGACTCAGCAATAACAGGCTCCGTGGCACTCGCATGCTCTTTGGCCTCCAGTGTAACTTTATTCATGCCCAGAAGTTAAAAAAATATCCCACAATCTGTTGTAGAGGACAGCTGATCTAGAAATCATACTATAGGTATATGTTACTTTGTTTTTTCCTTAAGAAAAATGAACCCTATATAAATTTTTTTTACTTTTTACAAGGGCATGTAGTGACAGGACACGGGTCAATGGATTTAAACTGAAAGGGGGGAGATTTAGATTGGATATAAGGAAGAAATTTTTCACTCAGAGGGTGGTGAGGCACTGGCACAGGTTGCCCAGAGAAGCTGTGGCTGCCCCATCCCTGGCCGTGTTCACTGCCAGGGTTGATGGGGCTTTGAGCAACCTGGTGTAGTGGAGGGTGTCCCTGCCCATGGCAGGGGGGTTGGAACTGGATGATCTTTGAGGTCCCTTCCAACCCTAACCATTCTCTGATTCTATGAAATTCCCACTTTTCCCCTCCTTTCAGATACTAACGTTTGAGACCAAGAATCCGACGGAGCTGGCGGAGCGCTTGCGATCCGTGTGTGGGAACCAGAGCAACGCTTACGCTCGGCTGCTGGAGTACCGACTGAACGCGCTGCGCGGGCTCTGGAACGCCCAGCGCCAGCTCGCCTTGGAGGAGCAGCATGACCGGGAGAGCTCGGGGGAGGAAGAAGCACTCGCCCTGCTCAAGCGCCAGGGCTTGTTGCAGCAGCCTGAACAGGCCCCGTTTACTTCCCGGATGGGGCTTCTGCTGGTCTTTCCCCTCATTCAGTCTCAGAGTCGAACAGACCCGTCTCTCTGTAACATAACTGCTGAGGTGCTATTGAATTGCCTTCGAGACTGCCAGCCTTTGAGTTTGACTAAGGAACCAGCTGACTGTCTCAATGGGATAGAGGCTTTGCTGTGCTCCTGGCTGGAAGACACTTCGGCTTCAGGCCAACAGATTCCATATAAGCAAAAAGAAAATGCTGCTGCTGCCCTAGTTGCCTTGGCTTGTGCCAGGTAAGGAAACGGTACCGAAATGACATGTTGTGGTTGATATTGGTAGTAAGTGTTTACACTTAAATGTGAGAATCAAAAGTGATGTGACCACACTGTTGATGCTAATTTTTGGTTTACAGTAATCTTTTTCTTTCTGATATTTAAATATTGGTTTGGAAAGGGTGAAACTGACAAGCTAAGCATTTTTTTTTTTGCGTGTGTTTAGCATATGTAAAAGCAGAAGGACCTAGGTTAGAAATGCCTCTTGTGCATATTGCTGCTTCTACTGCGGTGATCTGTTCTAGGAATGGTTCCAAATGCTTTTATCACAGAGGAAAGTTGTCTCGCTTTTCCCTTTGTACTGCCCCTTTAATCCTGTAGCTTATGCATCTTCGTTTGGCTGCAGAAGACACTGTGGCCAAGTTTCAGGGCGATTCATTTCACATTTCAGTGTTGCCAGTGAAACATCTGGAGGCATTTTTTCATTTCATTGCCAGTGAAGAGTTCAACCAGTGTAGGCTGAACTATCCCATGCCCTGCATGGGTTTAGCACAGCACCAGGTGATTGAGGACAAAATAGTTGTAATAACTTTTATTAAAAACTTAACTCTTTTGAGGAGATGGGGCTTGGGAAGAGGAGGAGGAGTATACAAAACTTGGCTTCTGCAAAGCCATACGAACGTGGATCTAAAGTCACTAGTTGCCTTTTGAAAATCTTGGCTTTAATGTTTCAGATTGCAGTCTTGTCTGTCAAGTTTAACTCTGATTTAAGATGTTGAAATTCTTAGGAGATGTCATGATTTGCTTTAGAAAAAGGTTTATTCAAATGAAAAACACTTAATTTCTCGTGTACTTGTTCTAATGAAGTCAAAGAGAAATCTACTGTATGTAGCAAACTCTTCTGCACTGACAACTGCCTTATCTAAAAGGCAACGTACTTGAACGTAGCTCAGATAAATTGGATTTGATAAACATCATCTCATTTATTTTTTTCCAGATGTCAATTCTCAGGAAGTATGGGATGTTCTTTTGCAGCTGAATTTGTAAAAGAGCTAAATTTCAAATACAGCTTTTGAAATGAAGGTTGATCTTATATTTTCTTTGCAAATCTGTCTTGCATTGCTTACAGAGTTCTAATATGTTCACCTGTGAAAACCTTGCATTTTTCCTTTAAATATGTAAGTCATGTGTTGGGTACCATTATGGAGAAAAAGCCTTCAAAATGAGGCTATTATGGAGATTCCTAGTTGCAATCTTGGGTACTTCATATTACTAAGAATAAAACAACAGGGTGAACATTGCTTTAAATAATTAATTGAGGAGCTTTGAAGTACTCAGTGTCAATTTTCTCCAAGCTGAGGTTTATCAGCGAAAGCCAACAGCTGAAAGTGACAGTGGGAAAAATGGTGTTTGAGGGGTGGAGGAGGAGATGCGGTTCGAACGTTGAGGAGCTAAGGCTGACCATGTGTGACAGAAAGTGAAAGGCTGTATTCAGCAGCGTGCATGGAAAAGGTCTCTTCAATTGATTAGTCATGCTTCTGAAGGCATCGGTTCAGAACTGACTATTATCATGTCTAAGATGCCGTCAAGATTCTCATATTTAGCTGGGTTATGACGCCTGGAAATAGAGCCACCACGTCTTTCAGAAAAGGACGACTTCTGAATACCCTGACCTTTAAAACAGAAACTGCCAAATATATATATTTTTTAAAGACTTCTGTATCTCTCTATTTCTACAAAAAACACATTCGCCACTATGTGAACATACAGATTTCATAGGTTCTCCAAAAAAAGTGTTAAACTTATGAATGAATAAGAATTATAATCAGAGTTACAAACTCCATCTGTTAGTAAATATTACAATAAACTTTTAAAGTGGCACACTTCTAGGCACTCTTTTGTTTTCAGAAGTCTCTAGTCCTTATATATATCTAAATGTGCAACTTCAGAAGGGCAAAAGCTTCCAAATTGGTGTTTGGATGCAAAAAATAATCAGACTCTTGATAATAAATTAATTAGTTTGGTCTTTTCTATTTTAGTCAAGAAAGTCATCTCTAGCTATGTCTGCAGCAGCTCTTACTAATGCTTTGGCTCAGCCCCAGGACTGTATTTGAAGATCTAAATGTGATTAATCAGCTGCAAGAAATATTGAGAGTAGCTGTCTAATAAATGCAGGTATTTTATCCTGTGCGTAGATCACCTTTACTGTACGTGTTGGTTATGACACAGCCCATGGATGCTGATCTCCCCACCTGCATGGTGCTTCATCTTTTTCCAAAAAGGCAGCGTGATTCAGACCAGCAGTTCGCCAGCATTCCTCCTTTATGTTACCCCTTCTTCCTCTTTTCACTTCTTCCACAAAAGAGTGAAAAACCATCCAGAAAAGAAATGCAAATTAGGAAAGAAGCTCGATGACATACCTTGGTAGCCTCTATGGTACTGGATATTAGATTCTCCATAGATGCTGTTGTCTGTGTGCATTCAGTCTTGCTTCAGTCGACATCTTTAATTCATGTTTTTCTTGTCCTTTTAGAGGGTCGCTGAAAACCTTTGTTCACACAGTGCATCTGTTACAGAAACAGACTGATCTCGGATCCTTGCCTGTGGCCGATGTGTTGTACAGGTCTGTAGTGACTTTGCTAATTGTAGCACTTTTACAGCAGCTCCGAAAATGTAGGAGTGCATCTACAGATAAATGTTGTTAAATGTGATTAAAAGGCTTTAGAGTTATCGAAAGCTCTAGGAGAGATCGAAATTTAATCAGCTGCAGGAGAAAGACATTAAAAAGTCAAATCTAAAAGGATCTACTAATTGTTTTTTGGGTGTTAAGTTTTAATTTTTTAATTAAATATTGATGACTCTCTTAAGTGGCTTATGAACTCTGACAGAGAGTAATTACTTAAAATACATCTTCATCTTAACTTTTGGTTTATCTGGTTTTTGGTATTCCTGTTCTCTACACATCTTATTTTCTGCTTAAAGGTTGTTGCTTTTGGAGGGAGGACCTGGATCACCCTCTTGTTTGCTCGGAGGAAAACATATAGTATCTTGGGGCTTTGAAGACATGTTACCTGCACCTGATGCCAACAGTAGTTCCAGCAGTGAAAATAAAGGTGAATTATTTGATGACTGTCGATATTAGCAGGGGAAGACAAGATGCTTTTTGTGGTGACAATTGTTTAAAAAAGTAATGTAAAGCTTTAGAGTTGGAAAGGATTTCTTCTTTTCTGTTGGAAGTGATGTAAAAGCCAAGTACAGGACATATCAAATAACTGAAAGCTGAAGGGTTTAGAAGGACCATCTGGAGAGAGAGCTGAGCATCACAGGAGCGCCTCGAAGCCTGATACATGATGAGAGGGGAAGGGCAGCAACTGCCTGGGCACTTTGTTGTCTTAATCGGTACATTCAAAACTGAAGTTTTGGAAACATGGACCTGATTTACAGGAGAAGTAAATCGTTTGCGTTGTTTGGCTTGTCATACCTACTCTCATTCAGTTAATCTAGCTAGATATGTAAATGGTTTGCTTTTTTAAAAGTTGATTTGGGGATCAGACAGAAAAAATATTCCCATTTTGTATGCGAAAACTAAAGTCTGGTGTGTTAATGACAGTATGGCGTATCATTTTTGTAAAAATGTAGGATAATAGCTTTAGAAAAGTGTTGCTTTTTGGTTGCTGAAGGCCAGGTGATATTTTCAATTGTCTGGTAATCACATTGGAGGAAACCATCAAAAGTGGTAGATGCAGTGACCCTCCCTGACTTCAGGGGGAACTTTGCAGAGGCCAAACTAGGTTTGGATATTATCCACTCGTTAGTCTTTCAGCAAGTGTAACTTTTTGTCCTGAGCAGTATCACTGTGTTCAGTAGCCAGCACTGGCAGATCATGTGTATTTTTAGAAGTGCAAGTTCATTGCTTTCCTCCCCCTTTTCTTATTCTACTTTCGTTTGTATCCAGTCTGTTTTGTATGTTTTTTTTAATGCTTTCTCTTGTATTTCTTTCCCTGAATAAATTTTTAGTTTTTACTGCTTTGTTTGCTTACTATTTTTGCACTAAATGAGAGAGTTTGCGTTGTTTTAGAAATACTAGTTCAAGCTTTAATGACATCTCATTAAGCTTAATGCAAGCCATAGGAATTCACAAATCTGAGTTGTCACTTTAGGCTATCTGCAAATTTAATGGAGATATCTATATTTTGAAGAGGTGGGTTTTTTTGGTCCTTAGCTGACTGTTCAGATTCGGTGCACTTAAATAGGTTGACTGGACTGGTTTATTGACAATGCTGTTACAAGGCTTTGCCTTGTGTGTCCCATCTTGATTAATATTAATAATTACTGCTTTGTGAATGTCAAGGCTAAGTTTGAATTACGTTTTCTCTTAATTTAACAGTATTCAGAGGTGGAAGAGTCTGCTTGCTAGCTTTGAGAAGTGCAGAGTTGTACCAGAAATTAGATCAAGGCTTGATATTAAATTATTCCTTTCCTACAAACAGTTATACCAGTGATTCTGAGTGGAAAGTCTTGCATAGTCGTAAGCCTTGCTTGTATTTTATCTTGCTGCCAGTTCTGAACAGCATTACCTGTTGCAAAAGCAGAAGAGAATGGTCTTCTGCTCCTTTGCATCACTCTGAAGGCATTTAATAGCAAATACTCAAGTTGATTTATCTTTAAGAAAAGGAATTTTCCACTTGAAATGAGTTCAGTTGAATAGTCCTGTGTTCCTAAGCATCGTTGGGTCTGCTAGTCTAGTTCCTGCTGTATTTATAGTTTTGAATAGTGTGCAGAAAAAAAAAACAGTTCAAACTTTCTGGGTTTTTTTTGACAGAAGCTTGGGCCATAATACCCAAAGACGGGTCTTTAACGCTGAAATAAGAACGCAACACAGGAAAATAAATTATTCAGAAATGGATGATGCACATTTGAATCATGAAAAAACAGCCCTAATGTCATTTGGTGTCTCAAAAGAGAAGCTGAGTGACTAGCACCTAGGTCTTAAGTTGTTTTGCCAACAGCAGGAGATTTAAATAGCTCTAGTGTTCATGTGAGTTAGATGTAATCTGGGCACTTCCTTGAGGCTGGGAAGAAATGTAAAGGAACTCCTGTGAAAAGAGTGGACTTTGACTAAGCCACAGTAGCTCTTAGAACCCCAAATGGTAAATGCAGTATTAAAAAATGGTTCTGACCTGTCAGGAGCATCTGTTGATTTTCGGTGGCTGTGGCACTACTGCAGAAGCGTGACGAGCGCAGAGAATTTCCAGTTTTGTGTTTCACAGAGGGCTCTGCTCTTTCTCCCCGATTCAGATGCAGACTTGGGGCGCTGCCTTGCAGCCGATGGGCTCTATCTTTATACAACTAATTCAGTGGGCAGAGGAATAAGTAAATTAGGATCTGGATTACATGGGACTTTGCGGTAAGTGACACTTGAATAGTTGCTATTCTGCACATCTGTGTTTTTTTAAAAAAAAACCCAAGTTATTGCTTCTGGTAAACCTCTCTCGATGTCAGGTGTAACAAGACTACGCTGTATTATGTGTTTTCATTAAATGCTATTTTAATGCTTTGGTTTTTTCATCTGAAGTTTTTCTTGAGTATGTTTTCTCTAGAACTGTAGAATAATTTAGGTTGAAGGGATCTCTGGAGGCCCTCTAGTCCAACTTCCTGCAAAGAGCTACGTTAGCAGAATAGCTAGTGGTTGAGATGTTATTTCTTTTTTAATGTATAGGGAGTTGGTTTATTCTTTGCTGAGAGGGATATACTATAGACTAGTTTTGTGACCTTTTTATTTATAGTTGTACAATTGCTGAATTTGTAACTAATCTTTTTTCTAATTATGCCATTCATTATATAAATGGCTAGTGCAGATGTGACTCACTGTACCTTCTTGCTTCTTTATTGCTTGGAAGCCGTGAGGCTTCTTATGTTTTCAGTCTTACAACAGAAATTGCTGCCTTATGCTAACTTGGATTTAAGTTCAGTCACAGTTCAGGAATGTGGTTGTGACTTGTTCTTAGAAAACCGAGAAACAGCACAGAGGTTTTATTAAAGAGCTTTAATATACTGCTTTTTTTGCCAGAGGTTTTGTGTACTGCCGTAATGAGGAGCTGGAGCCTGGCTGGGTGGCTTTTGGCAATGGCAAACTTCTTCATCGGCCCGTCTCTTTCGATAATAAGCCTCACTCCCTTTTCCAGGTTGTGGATCAGCATACCCTTCAGGTAAAAGGAGCAGCTAGGGTGGTCACTGCAGAGTTGTATAGTAGAGTAAGGAAACCTTCTTAATCGCAGTCGTTTCTACGTTTTGGTTAATTTTGTCCTTGAAGCTTCTTTTTGCTTTGTGAAATTGCCTTTTTGCAAACCCTCATTGAAAGCATTGCCCAAGAGAACCTGTAAGTTATGTAACAGCTATTACTCTTCCCGTGTGTGTGTGTATACGTGTATGTATATGCAGATGCAGACTTACACTGTGCTTTACTATGGTAGTATTGTAAGAGCTAGCCTATAGTATGGTCATGTTATAAAACAATTAAACAACAGCAAAAGGGATTTTGACTTAAACTGAAAACGTAATCTTCCTGAACAGCTCATTCTTCTTCTACTTTAACAAAATTCAGGTATTGTTTCTGATCTAATTGTGTTTTGTAGATAAACAACTGTCATTGTTTGTAAAAAATGGATAGGTTGTTTACTTTGGGCTTTTTTCCTGCTATAGTTTTAAGGATGGATATGCATACATATGTCCAGTGTGTTTCTTGAATCTGAGAATATTTGGATTCCCCTTTTCTTCCAAAGTTTCAAGTAAAGTTTTAACAGAAGTTGCAGAAAGTACATAACTCTTTAGCACGTATGTTTTCCTTATGATACTGTGAGTATGCTCTCAATCATTAGAGAGGAGACGATGCTTTTATTTTTAGATATGTTAAATGTTTAGATACATAAGCTGATTTGTATGCAGTAGATCCATTTGGCAAACATTATAAAATACAAAGAAATGTAATAGTACTATTATGTCCAATAATATGCTTCTTCTGGACTAGCCGCACTTGATCATAATTTATGTATTTTTAAATACACTGTTAATACTTATAAGAGGAAACTTCAAAATAAGAACTGTGAAGATGCTGTCTGTCTTGTAGGTATGTCAGATAATCCCAATGCCAGTAAATCACTTCCCAGTTGGCAGTACTATGACTACCGTGCATCTTTCTTCAGATGGTACATATTTCTACTGGATTTGGTCTCCTGCAAGCCTCAATGAAAAAACACCAAAAGGCCACTCTGTCTTCATGGATATTTTTGAGCTTATAGTAAGCAAATTCTGTGTTTTCTATGACTCTAGAGTTGGTAGCATAACTACTGCTTAATTAGATATCAGCATTTTCAAATCGACATGTTGGATTTGAATATTGATATGTGTAGTGTATTTATGAAATAGCTTTTAACAGAACAGAAGGTGTATTGTTCAATTCTGTCTTCAGAGGACATGTGGCTACCGTAGTCTAGCACTATGAATTGTCTTGTAACAAAAAACGTATTTTAGTAGAAGTAGCAATTAAGTTTTATGCTGGGACAGTAATTCAGTGTATTAGGATTTAAAGCATTTTTTACTGTGGATATGCTTCGTGGTTTTAAAAGCCAATCAGATCCCACAAGTTACAAATAACAATTGTTTTGTCTACACTGCATTTTATAGCCTAATAAGTTTTTTATGTTGTATGATAATCATTGGTTTTAGTGTGAAATGAAATGTTAAGTCTGCAGAAATATATCAGTAGTTTGAACTCCCTTTTCTCTCAATGGCTTATATATGTGAATGTTTATATACATGCATGTGCATGCATTTGTATATGTGTGTATATCTTAATTTGACAACGAAGCATCAGTCTAAAAATTGATTCATTTACGTAGCACAGCTTACAGCAGTTCATAGACCTCTGGTATGGATAACTGAAATTGTCCGAGGGTTTAGCTTTGATGGAGTGCTTTGGGTGTAATGTCTGTGTGCTCAGCAGTTGCTGTACAACAGCTGTGCTTAGTGGCATGATGGAGCTGCAATTGGTAGGCTGTAGTTGTACAACTCATGGAAAATACCTAAAGCTGTAAATTAAATCTTATCTTCATTAAGAGATGCATTCTTTAATACAACATCCCCTGAAGATTATGGTCTTATATATAATCTCTTATACTTTTGGCTGGCAAATGGTTTAAAGGCCTCTTTGTACCAAACTTGCCATTGAAACATTGCTAAGAAAGTACAGCCAGGTTAAATATTTTTAAGTAGAGTTCCATAAGTAACTTAAGATTATGACAAACAGTTCTGTCTTTAAGGACAGGCCAAATAGAAGATATTCTATTGAACCACAAAGTCACAAACTCGTACTCATTTGTCCATCTTTTGGATATTCTATTGAACCACAAAGTCACAAACTCATACTCATCTGTCCATCTTTTATGACACTTCTTTGCAAGAAATTCTGACAGCAGAGTTTAAGTTTGGATCTCTACCTGATATATTGTATTGTTGAATTTTACTATTCAGTTAGGGTAATCTGTCTGCTATGGATTTCAATACCTAAAAGTATTTTTTTGCTCCATTTTAATAGGTAGAAAATGGCATGTGTATAGCAAATCCTCTACAGGAACGAATTATATTAATGAGAAAAGAGGGTGAATCTGCAAAGAGTATCAACGAGATGCTTCTGAGTAGGCTGTCTAGGTACAGAGCCTCCCCGTCAGCAACGTTGGCCGCTCTCACCGGCTCTACAATCTCCAACACGCTGAAAGAGGACCAAGCAGGTCAGAAGTTTTACTGACTCTCAGTGATTTTTCATGGTTTCTTTCTTAACACGTATAGTATCAGTTCTAGTAATTACTAACCTCTTAGGACATGTTAAAAAAAAGTGTTGGAAACATATATATTTGCTTAGCGCTTGAATTACAAGTTCCTTTGCTAAATTAGACATTGATTGTGAGAAAAGTTTAAGAATGAAACCCAGGAAGAATGCTGGTAGTGCCCTTTTTTCCCTGTATATTCCATTATAGTCCTGGCTGCATTCCTTTGGCAGTTTCAGCTGGGCTTCTAATTGTTGTGTAAAAATGGACTGCAGTTCAGAAAATGAAACTATTGTTTCACGAGTAAGTTGAATACTATAAGTTGGAGGTAATTTTGATTTTTTGAGGTAATTTACACAATGTTTGGGTATTCTTTTATGGGCTTGTGGAAGCTACCCAAGTTAACTAGGGAGTCATGAATGAACTGTATCGATGGCTTTCAGGATGATCTGGAGCTTTGTAAGGTTTGTCTTAAGATTTTATTCAGTTTATCCTGATTGCTTCTCTTCCTTCGTATGTACCTGAGTTTCCTTTCTTCAATTTTAAACAATTAAATGTATTTCCATAAAAATAAATTACACAGGAAATAGATCTGCTTACAGGGAAATTGGCACGGAGTTAGCTTGAAGAGCTATTTTAAAGGCTGTGTTTTGCCAGTTAACACTGGAGTGCTACAGAAGAGAAGAATAAGTGGTTATTCTTGGATAATTCTTTAGTCATTTCTCATAAAAGTGTTGATCAGCTGTGGCAGGAGCTAGATGGTTATGACTGTGTACGTTTCATGTGGAGCAGGAGAACTTAAAATAGTAAATGCGTAGTGAATCTCAAATGATCTCTATGTCAAAAGATTATTTGGCTCTAAGATACTGCTTTCAGTATGGTTATCACCATACAATTCTTAAAATGTTTATACTTAAATTTTAGGCTTCTAGTTTTCCTGCTTGGGAAACTAGAGATTGCTGTCTTTTTAATTTTTAAGTTGTTCTCTTTAGTTAACTCACCTGTGAAACTGCATCCTTCTGGGGGCTGATGCTGAACGTGTGGGACTGAGGCCACCCCTGTATGCAACTTCTTAGAGCAACTTCTAAATGCTGCAAAATGTAGCTGAAACGAATTTCCATATAGATTTATTGGAAGCCCTAAATAGAAATCTGCCTTGTTTGCTTCCTGTTACTCTCAGTTCTTAATGTTAGAATGAAATACACGTTTGTGTCATATTTTTCTGGTTAATCTTTCAGCTGCAAACACTAGCTGTGGGCTGCCACTGAAGATGCTAAGGAAGACTCCGATATACACCTGTGGAACGTACTTGGTGATGTTGGTCCCACCCCCGGGTGGATCAGGCAGTTCTGCAACACGCTCGCTCTTTGGAGGAACAAGTGCTTTGTCATCTTTAAAAAGTAAGTGGGATACATTTGTGGCAGGTTTTAAGTCCTTGGTTTGCTGAAATACAAGAAACTTCTCAGGAATTTATTGGAGACTTTTTTCTACGTAGTTCTTGCTTCAAGCTTGGTGTTCAATATTTCGGATGGGCAGTTCACAAGCCGAGCAGATCTCATTGATGCTGCAGGAAGCTCTCTTGGACGTGGTGCTCTAGTTCCAGGACTTGGTAAGAAGCGGATCTCTTTAGATCTCTTTTCTGGGAATATTTCAGAACTAGATGTATCCAACACTTTGATTCTAAATAATCTGTCTGGATTTTAGTTTGCAGTAAGCAGCTGTGCACTTGGTGGGGTTTCATGTCTGTGGTGAAACTTCGTAAATTGAACATTTTTGAAAGTTCAGAATTCCTTGAAGGAATTTCCAAGTATCTTGCTTTTGCAGTTTCAGCTGCACACAAGCTCAAGAAAAGTGTTTTCTAGAGCAGAAAAGAGTCTTGAAAGAAGTCTGATTTTTATACTCTGCTTATGCTGTAAGGTGCTACAAAGTTCTGATCTTTATATTTGAAAAAAATATATATCTTTATATTTGATGCTAGTATCTGGTGGCAGACTCATCTATTTTGAGTTTAGGCACTGTGGCAGCATCTGATAAGTTTGTGAAGGAGTGACATGTTATGTACTTATACTTAAAAATAACGAGCACCAGAGTATTTACCTGAACCAGATGCCGTTGCACGTTTACTTGAAACATCGAAAGGGATGTGCATTTGCTTCATGTTAAGAAATCCTTTTAATGTTTTTTGTTCTGATGCATTGTTACTAAATTGCTGTTACGCGACAGAGATCTTGTAAATCCAAATTATTTGCTTTAGATCTGCTATAAAAACATTTAAGTCTGGTTTTCTAACAAACGTTCTAAACTTTGCTGTGCAAAATATTTTCCTTTTCTTAGGTGCCTGTTACGATACTATGAATAATATGATCTGGACATGCTCTAATGATTATATTGATCAGTGGTGTAATCCTGGGAACCAGGCATTCCATTGTGTCTGTCAGAGGCTGGGAGTGAGTCATGTCATTACAGAGCCCAAAGGTGAGGCAAACCTACAAGTCAGCACTTTGTATGAAGTGGAAGTGAAATGTATGATTGTTGTAGAGTAAACACACAGAAACTTCCTTCTGAAACTTTCTGTTAAAAGTTGAGTTCGTTCTTGAAAAGTTGTTTATAAATGTGGGTCATGGTTTATCTTTGCTTTAAGAAAAGAAAAAGCAAAAAAACAAGATGTATTTGGAAGTTTCCAGATTCTTGCAACCTTTAGCACATTAAAAAAGTAATGTGGGTAATTAAAAAAGTGATGTGGGTAATTCTTTTGCCTATCATGTGGGCTGGTGTCCTGAAATTAGAGATGATGATATATTGCATTTAGAAGCAAACACTGATGCTATAGTCGGTGTTTGCAGACAGCATTTGAACTGCTTTTCTTCTTCTAGGGGATGCAACAACCACAAATGAGGTGATTAACCAGTTACTGCACCATGTTGGTGCCATGTGTATCCACCAACTCAACCTGCTTGCGGCTAGCAACAATCTTCCCATAACAAACTTTTTGGGCAAGCAACATCCAATTGAAGCACATCATCTCAGCAGCATTTGTGACATTATGGAGAAAGCTATGGTGAATGGAGATACTTGTATAATACGCTGCATTCTTGTCGTCTTTCAGGTATGAGGGCATCTTAAAGGTCCTTTGCAATAAACACTAAAAAAAGCAAACCACCCCACAATAAAAAAAAAACACAACTCAAAATAAAAGAAGAAAAAGTTGTTTTAGAATAAAGGCAACGACTTGATTTTATTAGGTTTTTTTCCATTGTATTCAATTTAATGGAGATTGACAGCAGATCTGACACATCTGTTTGAGTCCTAATTTAAATGTAAGTGTAACTGACACGTTTACATATTAAATATAAATTCCAGAGAGGTTAATTCCTCATTTCTTTTTTTTTTCCCCCCGTTTTTTGGATCCAAAGTCAGTTTCTGACTCTAAGGTTTCTAGTGACTTAGGCAAAGTTTCAAAAACTGACTGCAGAAAAAGACTTAATGTGACAAATGTTAGAGTTTTTAATACTGCTGTGTTTAATTTTTCTTAGGTGGTTTTTAAGTTTTTCTTCAGCCCACAATCCGAAAGAAACAGAGATATTGTTAGAAGGTCTGGCCTATTACTTTGGCAGTTACTGATGGCACCACGGGATCAGATTTGCTCCGAAATTCAGAAGGAGGTTTGTCTAGCTATTAGGTAAATATCTATTTTGTCAAATTGAACAACTTTGATTTTAGATGATTTGAAAATGTTGTAACAGATGAACATTCAAATTGTATCCAGCAGTGTAATTTTAAATTAAAAAAAAATGCATTTCACTAATGACTGGAATGACTTCCATGTTTAGTTTATATAGTTTATTGGTGTTCTGAAGTAGGCAAAGCCAATGTTCTCAGCTGTTGTACTGGTGTTTCAAGTGGCACTACTGAAATTCTCCTAAACAAAAGGAATGTAAGGGGAAGCAGAATGAGTAATACTTGAGGAATGCTGTAAGATTGAAGGCCCAGGGAAAAACACAGGTAAGGTATTAAGACTGTCTTGAGAAAGTCAGGTTTATGTTTAAAAAATCGGGAAGCTATTTTGGTAGAAGGGTGAGCATTGTGTCTCTGGGTTGGTACACCAGGTCATCAAAAGCTTTAACAGGATAGTTGCTTTAGCTGCACGTCGTACTAGCTACTGCATCTCTCGAACCAGATTTCCTTTCTCTGGCTTGTCAAAATAGCAGAATGACTAAGTACAGGGAAGTGAGCAAAAAGTGTGATTGTGTATCATGAAAACGAGATAATGTAAATCTCAAGGACAAGGAGTGCTGTCTCAAACATCCCAAGTACAAATATAATCTGCTTTCAAGTGGGAAGTGCTCCGAAGGTTGAGAACAAAATCTTCTGAAGATCAACCTGCGGGTTTTTTTTGTGTGAATCAACAACATTCCAAATTTCAGTGGCTTTATGCGACTCTGTAACTGAGTGAAAAAGAATAGCATTATCTTTAGTATAATTATCTAGTATTTTCAGGGTCTTGCTTTTTGACAGGGAAGAGTGGCTCCTGTCAACTGCATGCACAGGTGCTGCATTTTTCCCTTGTTTAACCCTATATCTTCCAAAGACTTGTAAAAAAAAAAAAATAAAATCAGAAGTGGGGATTAGGTAATATCTCCTTCTTTCTGTTTTCTCTTTGGAGGATTCTGGTAGCAATGGAAACCTCAAGCTTAGCTTGCAGTGTATGATAACTTTCCCTGATGTTTGTGTGGTCAGCGTGAGCCAGAGGGAGGGGAGCTGCAATAATCCCTGCTCTCAGTGTGAAGCTGAAAAACATTCCGGTTTTCTTTTCTATCAGAGTGTTATTTAAAAAGAAAAGGGGAGAAAAGAACAGAACAAAAAGTCTGCACAATAGTTTCAACACTTCAGTCAGTCACGAAGTGCTCCTTTGAAGTTATTGGCATCTTCTGTCTCGATGTGGTAATTCGTGTAGCAAGGACAAAGTTCATCACAAGTTAGAGGGGGAAAAAATCTCCTCAAGGCTATTTAGGCGTAGTTGTGGTGTTTTCAAAATGCAAGTTCTAGAATCTTCTGCTTAGCTTAAACTAAGACTTCTATAACGAGACAGTCTTTAGGAAGTATAAAACTGTAACATGGGTGACTCCTTGATTACTGCCTCTTGCGTTTTCCATTGTTCTTGTCACAGATAAGCCACAGTTCTTATCCCATCGCCAGAGTCGTTTGAGTTGTTCTCTAAGCCCTCATCTGTTTTTTTCCTGGCATCTGTCTGTTTATTGAAAAAATGATTGTGCTGTCATATATACAAGTGATATGAGGTTTCTCAGAGGGAAGCAAAGAGCTCTTGAAGAAGCTTTGGGACCTAAACAATAAAATATAGTTGATTGCAAGAGATTTCTGGAGAAAGCAGCTGTTTATTTTATGACTAATATAAATGTTAGAATATGGAGGATACCTTTCTAAGTTGGATGAAACTATGTACATAGTCGTTCTAAATATTACATCAGATACTAAGCTGAGATTCTGTGATGCCATTTTTCACTTGTCCATTCAAATGATTTTGTTCACTTTTAAATATGTTAAGTAATACACGATTTTATTTTTCCTTTAGCTCTGGTTTGAATATCCTGTATCCTGGAGAAGCAGAAATCAATAATTTGTTGAAATTGGTCTTGACTGAAGGTGAGAATGTCTTATTGACATGCGAGGGTGCGTTTTTTCTAATTGAAAATAAGAAAAGTGAAGATACTTCTCCACTTCTGGAGGAAGAACTCAGAATATTGAGTACCAGTCTGCTTTAAACCCATCCTGTTCTAGGAAATTATGGAGTGCTTCAAATTTTGAAGCTGCCTTCTGAATGGCTACATGGTCAAGTCTGTGTTATGTGTAGAAAAGGAAAACTTGTTTCAATCAGGCAGTTGTTAAAAATTGAAAAGGGTTAAAGTTCTCTCTTGTCACTTTTAGTAATGTTTGGTGTCCAGGTTGTATTTTAGAACCCATAGTTATTGGTTAGCTTACCCATGGCAGTTACACAGTAACCAGAGGTAGTTGTAGTGCTTAATGAAAGAGTAATAATCTACTTGTATTCACCATGAAGTGGGAGTCTGGACTTAGGAGCAGCTGATGCACAGTAATTTGTTACTTCATAGGAATGTGTTTGTGTGTCAGAGTCTTTGGAATTTAAAACAGGGCTGTGTGCAGAGTAAGTTTTAACAGCCTGTAATATCAACAGGGAATCAGGTTACACTGTAAATACAGTAATTTCTGAGAAGTAGCACATATTAAGCAAGATATCTGAGGAAATAAAAATAAACTAATTCTGTAAAATGCTGTTTTGCAAAAGTCTTTGTGTTCCATTTTAGGAGAGAGAAATAGCGGTCTCTCTCAACTTCGCGACGTTATCCTGACTAATTTAGCTGAACAGCTTCAGAACAACAGGTTTGGAAGTGAAGATGATGATCATTATAGGTAAAATGCAACAATATGCTCGTCCTCATTTATAATGTATGTTTCTGTTGTTTGCTTTAGGCAAATTTGCATAAAATTCTGCTGAAATTGCTTCTTATCTTACTAGCAGTCTGACCTGAAATACTATCTTCATGTCCATGGTGGGTAGGATTTCGTTAGAACAAGGGAGAGGTTTGATGTTTTAGGGGAAACTTTGGAGTGCACAAACTTAGGTTTGGATTCACAGATACTCACTGTGTATGTGGTAAATGCAGATGATAATTCTTACGTACGATATTGTGACATTGCTCTCCTCCTCAGACTGTTAGGTGACTTTTCAGCAGTAAAACTGTCGATCTCAAGTACCTGTTCCAGTTGGGAGGAGTCTTTTTTCGGAGTCATTAGAAGTCATAGACTTACCAGTCTGTACAGTACAGGGAGTCGCTGGTGGTCTGTTGCACTGAATGTTGTGAAACATTTCAGGCTCGATTTTCTCTCTGTCTGAATCTCTGAAGTTGAGCCGATAGATATTTGTTATGGTTTCACATGGTTTGTGACAGAGCTTGCAGATACTTTTGAGATGAGCTATACAGAACATGCTCTAATTAGACTATTAACACTTTACATATTTCCTGCATTTTTTGAAGACTAAATGATGAGCTGTTGCACTACATTCTCAAGATTGTTGTCCGAGAATCTTGTGTCTTAATCACCAAGTGCCAAACTGTATCTAAAGATGATTTTCAAAGGCTTCTTTCAACTGTGCCTGTAAGTAAAACGTATTTTGATAAAAGTAGATTTGCCTTTGGCTTCTTTTCTTCCTTAAATCCATCATCTTCACAGAGTATATAGAGGTGAAACTTTTACAGTTGTGTGTCTTAACAAATACAGGAAAAGAGTGTCTTTTGTTTATGCTGTGCTGGGAAGGAAGAAATAATTTCTTACAGCAAAGTCAGTCATACAGTAATTCTAAATCAGGTTTATATGTGGATATATTTTCCAGTTGCTCTGGTAACTTTCAATTTAAAGGAAGTTTGTTTATCTCAATCTTCAAAGCATTACAACAACTTAAAAACCAAAATAAAATCTTTCTACAATTGTGTATAATGATTCATACGAGCAAAAAGATTATCGTTTACAGACAAAAATGGGTGAAAGTTGGCAGAATTTGATGGTAGAAGTGTGCATAGGTGTGTTCAGTGGGGTCAGCTCCCTGATGTGGCTGATGGCAGAGGCAAGTGAGCTTGCCTGCGAGCACTGGGGAGGGCAGAGGAAGTCATGGCCTGTGCTGCAGGAGGGTGGGGAAGGAGCAGTAGTGTGGAACCATCACCTTCAGGAATGTGAATTAAATTTAGCTCTATGGTGGCATCATCTTTTAAGAATTAATTAATGTTATAGTACTTCAATATTACTATAATGTTACGCACCTGAATAAAATGGTACTGCTTCTATACATGTTTTGCAAGCTACTTGCAACCGGTTTCTTCTCTCCGATATGAATTAGCAAGCTTGCACTAAATCAGCAGAAAACCTTCTATTCAAGGGAAGCTATTTTCTGCTTTTGCTTGTCCTCTCCCCCTACTTTTTTAATCTTTATTTTGAACTAGAAGGATTGTCTGACTCAGTTTTTTACAGCGTTCAGATAATGTGAAGTGTACTTATTTATGTTAAAGGCTGCATCGTCGTGTTTGCGGTATCTGATGGCTGTGCAGAACCACCTCCTCAGTAACACTATTTTGATTAAACCTGATGAAAATGATGACAGTGACAGCTCCTTGCAGGGAGAGACATTGAAGGTACAGGTAAACACCGAGTTTTATACTAGAATGGCTCTCTACTGTCAGTGTTCCTGTGACATCTCTTGTTTCTGCAGTGCGTTCTACTTGTGCTGTTTTGTTGGTTCTTTTCCTCTTGATGTAGTTAAATTACTGTAGATGTGTTTTCCTGTTCTCCTCCTAAAGTCTGCAGGTGTTCTGTGTTCAGTATTCCAGCTTGAGTTGTATAATGTCAGTGAGAGCAGACACTTCTCTTCCTAAATATACATATAATGAGGTTTAAAATGTATTTTAATTAATATGTAGTAGTAAGAAGATTCACGTGCCAGGAGTCCTTTCTGGACACGTTACCCCCATGCTTTCTCTTCTCCAAATCACTTGGGTGGTCTTTGAAAAAAATATATTTCAGATGTAAATAGGAAAAGGTTTTCTCGTTCACCTTACCTGGCTTCTGCCGTTTTGCAGTTTTAACTTATAAAGCTTCTGTAGAGCCACAGACAACAGCATGAATAATGTTTGTGGCAAGGAAGCTTGGGGGCAGAGCTTGCAGACAGTGGTTGTTTTGTTGGTATGAGGTTTATTCAAATGGTGCCATTTCATCGTACTGCTGGAATAGTGCTGAACGAACTCGTACAAGGCAGGTTTATCCTAGCACGCAGGCTGTCGTGCCATAGTAGTAGTTGTGACAGTAACAATTCTTCTGTGATGGCGTTGACTTTAGAATTTCTGGTGGTGTTTGTCAAGCTGGTTTTGTCTGCTCCTCTTTGAGACTTCGTGTGCGTGTAGTTTTGTAGTGCTGCTGCAGTTGAAAGTTATTTGTTCGGGCTCATTGAGTAAATGCTAAATATTGTAGTACTTTTCTTGTCTCGCTATTCACCCATGTTTTCATTGTTCAGTTTCTCTCTCCACAGTGATCCTCATACCTGCTAGGACATTGTGTCACCAATGCTGTACCTTGGCTGGCTAACAGCTCGCTCTCCTGTGCTGGACTTGGGGATTCCTTCCCTCTAGAAACTGGATGTGCATCCTGTAAAACATGCACCTAGTTTCTCCCAGCACTTTGGGGCTTAGCATTAATCAAATTTAAGTCTTGGATGAATCTACTGCTGCAGGCCTGCCAGGTCACATTATCATTATTTTAATTTGGAAATCCATCCTTTTGTTATGTTGTCCTTTTTTTCGGATTCTCTAAGAACTGAAGTATCCTGTAACTTTTTGTACCTAGGAGCTAAAGACCAGCATTTTGTCTCTTGCTACGCAAATACTGACAGGATGTGATGAAGTCTTAGAAATGCTGCAACAAGTCACTACTGCTCTAATAAACAGTGACATTTCTGACAGAGAGCAAAGGTAAGACAGTATAGACCAGTATGAGTGTGTTAACTTGAAAACAGTGAGCTGTTGCTTTTTGTGGCTTCTTGTACAAGCACACATAGCATTACTTATTCTTTATAACTTCATGCTTGAGCTTTGAATGTACAGGAACTGTTTCCTACTATAGCATTTGCTTAGCACTTATCTTTTGAAGAATTTAAAATCAGACTCTCTGTGTCAGTATAACTAGCTCCATAATCTATAGAAACTTCAAATTGGTGAGGCTTTAGTCAGGTGCAATGGTATTTATGAGCAAGGTAACTCGAAACAAACTGTAGTTAGTCAGCTGGGACTAACTAGTTAGTCAGTTACAAATCTGTAACCTAGGGAGATTTGATTTTTAAAAAAAAAAATTAAATTCCTGACTATTACATCTCTAGTAGCTGGACTAGATGTTATATCCATGACAGGTCTTGGAAGTTATAATATCCTGCATGTTTCATCAGATAGCGTCACCTTGACTTTCCCTGTCTCCTCTCCACTTAAAAATGTATGTTGGGAATGGGATGTAGGGGGGGGGGAAAAAAAAAAAGCTGTGAACCTTTTCTCTAGTTAAACAAACACCTCCCTCTCCCAGTTGTGTTTCAGGTTTCAGTGTCTATGCTTTTCTGTGCCCACAAGATTAATTTTGTTTATTGACAATACTCAATTCCTTTGAGGTGTTTTCAGATGAATTTCATGCTTGAATATATTTGTATAGATTCTTTTAAAGTACCTGGAGCTACATGTGCAGGCAGCCTGATATACGTACTGAACAAATACGTTTGTGTCTGAGGCAGACTTTCATCCCATGCCCATGGGAGCATTTTCTAAGTAATTATTAAACTCTTGATTTACTGTCTTCTGGTCTGTCACTGTTCAGTAAGAATTGAGAGCAAAGACTAGGATGCACACTTTGGAGAAATTGTAGTGTCTTCAAGATATTAAGTTTTTGGGGTTTTTTGGAAATACAATGCAAGTGTTCTATGCTGAATTTTGAATTGCCTACTTATGCAGTCTGTTATAAAATTAAGTAGATGATTAAAAATAGTAGTGATGCTCTATGAAAATAGTTGTTACTATGTAAAGCTTGGCTCTCCTTACAGATTAAAAGGCTTGGAGCAAATTACAAAGGCTACTATGCTTGGTCATCTGCTTCCCGTCCTACTGACATCTCTGATGCATCCAAATTTGCAAACTCTAACTATGGCTGATGCCTTGATGCCTCAGCTGGTGCAGCTGGTTCTTTACACAAGTCAGGTATGAGCTTTGTGTCAGCAGTTGTTTCCAAAGCAAAAAGATGTGACATGCATTTCTACAATGCTGTAGGTCTTGGTCAGCTTTCTGCAGTAAGCGGTCCACAGGTCATAGTTCAAGAATTGTTCAACAGCTACAAAAGCTGATAATGCTGAATATTAGATTTGACTTGGTACAACAGCTTCTAAGTAATGATTTATTGTTAATAACATTCAGTGTGATTGTTAAAATATTTCAATAATGAGATCTTAAAATTATTTACTGTTTGCACATTTCTAATGGTATATTTTGTGCCACAGACTGCGCTGCTGCTTAAAACTCAGTCTCCAGTTTTCTCAGAACTGAACAGTTCCCCCAGTGGTGCATCAGAACAGAAAGGGAAGCTCTTACCTGATGAGAGGTGATTTTTGTTATATTTGGGTCTGTTCATGGGATAAAATAGCTGTAAAGTTTATTTGACCGTTGACGTAGGATGAATCTTAAAGCAGCAATCTTCTTTGAGGCAAAGCTGTAATGGTTTGTAAGGGTGTCTTAGAGATATATCAGCCTTTACAAAAGGCAATTAATGCTAAAATTTTATTGCATATAGAATTAAATGATTAGTATCTTCAGGTTGTTGGCACAGGATATGATTTGGTTTGGGGTTTTTTCTCACCTCAAGCATCAGGAAAGAATTCTAAACGTTCCTCTTACGATAAGTTGGGCTAAAGAGGACCATCATGAGAAAATGTAAATTGCTCTGGCACCATGAGATACAGCATTAAAACTATTGGAAAGATATTAGGTGGTGGTGTTTACATAGAGAAATGTAGCGATTTTAAGTCCTGTGTCTCAGCTCAAAGTTATACAGCTTCTGCTTAGAAACAGAACACGCAGTTAAATTAAATAAAAAACACTTATCATATCTATTTGCAGCGTTGCAGAATTTGTGGTATTAAACAGCTTGTGATAATGTGAGCAATACTGTGTGAAAACTCTGAAGAATTTATTTTCAATCCTCCTTCAAGTTATAAGCTTCAGTGAAATATTAGGCATATTGTTTTGTGACAGTGTGATCTGGTTTGGGTGCTGTCCCGGGACGGAGGGTTTTTTATGCTACCACTTGTATGCTGGAGTCCATATGTAGTTCTGTTTACTTCTTTATGGTGCTACTTAACTTGTTTACTGTCATTTTGAAGTGGGAAAGCAGAGGGAAAAGTTCAGATTTTACAGGTTGGAGGTTGGCACGGTGGTTTCTAACGCACAGAGTTCATGCTGTTTAAGTTCTGCGTGTCCCCTCAGTGCAGTGATGCTTAAAACGAGGAGTCAACTTTAGACTAAATTTTCACTGTTATTTCAGAATGCTGGAAGAGAAAGAAGAACCCGGTTTTCTTACGGGTTTGAAGATCCCTGCTCCCTGGGCTGCTGGGAAGACTGTAGAAACAGTTCATCCTGTCAGGGATAACTATAAATTTAAAGAAACTGTGCATATTCCAGGAGCCCGCTGTTTATATCTTAGATTTGACAACAGATGTTCTTCACAATATGATTACGATAAGGTAAGCAAGGGCCAACTCAGAATTTCTTCATTTTAAGTATATTTCTGTCAGCAGCACTTCCTGTTTTCATCTTTTCTTCCCCTTGTCTTTCGTAACGCCTTATTTCCGGTGATCAGGATAATGCAGGATGTTTTTATTAATAGGAGCTTATTAGTGTACATTGTGATGTCACAGTCTGCTTACTTCAAGGCTGTAAAGCACAGGGATGCAGAGAGGTAATTTCTCGTGTGGCACAAGTGTGAATAACTTTTCAAAAGAATTCTTGAGTTTCATCTTCAGGCTAGAGTTAGCTAAATGATAGAAAATGTAAAAGGAGCTGTTGACATGAAAAGACAGGAAGATGAAGATAAGTGGTTCATGTTTAATTTCTATTATTCTTGAAGAAACAATCCAAAAGAATATATGCTTAATTCTTGTGTGTTGTTTCAGAACGTAATATCTGGTGGTTGTTTCAATGTTTAAAACCCACCAGTTATGAGGATCTTTTGTTAAAGAGTTAGCTCTGCAGTTAGGAAACTTCCTTGAAAGATGGCAGAAGTAGTGGTAGTTATGAAATAGGAGAAATATAGTAGACTCCAGAGATATGGAATTTGGGGTTTGGGGTTTTTGTTTTGTTTTTTTCCCCTCTCAGAAATTCATACCAACTTTTTCTTTTTTTAAATTCATTTCATGATGGCTCAGATTGTCAAAGTTTGACTTCCTTCTCATTTTTGCTGTTGTTCAGTTTTCCTTATTTCTCAAATTTTAATCTAGCTGCCTATTTAAACTGGGTGGAACTGGAAAAGTTACTTTCCCCCCCCCCGCTGATAAATGGCTTGATTACATAGACTAATATGAACAAGTATTTTCAATTTCAAGACCACAACTAATAGCACTTATCTACTTTGTATATTCAGAGCTACTTGTGCTGTGTACTACTTGTTGCCATATGTTCTTTCGACACGAAGCAAGTCCTGTGGTACTTGCTCCCATTAGTTATTTACAAGTGTCTTTAATATTGTCACCCATTTCTGGTTAAACTCCTGCAGGAAATTTTGGGCCTTGTCATGTCCCCACTGAAGTCACTGACAAAATATTAACTTTGGGAGCAGGATCAATCCATGTATTAGCAGAGAGGCAGTATGTTCTAGTTAGCTCAGCGTGAGGACTGGAAGTCAGGATTTCTCCTGATTTACACTCCCAGTCTTGCTGTGTCACTTTGGGGGCAAGTCACTCAATTTCCTCTCTGCCTCAGTTTCCCCATCTGTAAAATGGGGATAATAATACTTGCCTACTCACCTCACAGGGCTGTTGTGAGGATTTGTTAATGTTGATAAAGCGCTTTGAAAATGTAAAGCGCGGTGTAAGTGCTAAGTATTATTATTATTATTAGATTTTCTTGTTTTTCTCTTACAGTCTAACAGTGTATTTTATGTTTTGAAGTTGGTGATCTATGCTGGTCCTAACACAAACAGTAGGAAGGTTGCTGAGTATGGAGGCAATACACTGGGATATGGCAGCCGTAGTGTCTTAGGAACTGGTTGGCCGAAAGACTTAGTAAAGGTACAGTATTACAATCCAACACTATTTCACGTAGAAAAATGCCCTTTGGAAACCGTGTCGAGTCTATTCTAACCCTTATTGCAATCAAGTCCAAGCCTTTAAGTGTTGGGTTATCCATGACGAGGTCACTTCTGAAGTGGGCTGTATGTCCTTGGGAAATCACTTGAAACTCAACTGTCTGTTACGTGTGATGCTTCTCTTTAAGCTTATCTCCTTTTGTTATGTCTTACTGGAATTTGCTGGGGGTACGTTTCAGTCCTGGCGTCTCTATTGGCACTACTGTTCTCTCAGGATATCTTCCCAGGAGAAATTCCAGCGCAGTCTGAGGCTGTGTGTATCATCTTAAGCTCTGTGGACACGACTGCATTTTTTTAATGGTAGCCCACAATTATAACAAGTAATAAACGTGGCAACTTCCCAGCCATTCGTGTTGGGTTTTAAAATTACATTAGATGCTTTGGGTAGTAAAGCTAAGACAGAAAAATCCCTCAAACTTCTTGAAACTTTAATATTCCAGGAATTTTGCAGTATGTTCCCTCAGATTGTATGTAGTATGATTTTTTTTTTTTTTCCTTATGTGTTTGTGCTGCTACATTGTCCCACACTAAGACTGGGCTTATATACATAACAAAAAATACTTCCAAAAAGAAAAACAAAAAGTAATGAACTGGAAAGCAATTTCAGACAAGCACTCATTGTTCACAATTAATGGAATTTCATTGATTTTTCAGACATTTATCCTGTTCTTTTAGCAAACTCTTCTATTAATGTGTTGACATTCTTCTCCTTGAAGAGCTTGTCTGTCTTCCTGAAGGAAGGGAGCTATTAATCACTGCATGATTTCTTGCAGTCAAATAAGGAAAGCATTTTGATGGAAATCAAGACCAAGTAACACAGACTGACTTGATAAATTCTAATTTGATTCTACAACTACAGTGGGTTTTTTTGTTTTACTATAGTTAGCCAGCAGCAAAACTAAAATCAAATTGTCCACTAAAAGATGTCCTTACTAAAAGGAAGAATCTTAAATCAGAGTGTATGATTGGAGATAAAAATAAAACTTAGATAACTGTTACTAAAAACAGTAATCCATAAAATAAGCCACTTTTATGAAAAGCCTGTTTGTTTGTCTCAATTCTTAAATGTATCTTTTTTTTTTTTTTTTTCCCCCTCCTCCTCCCGGCCAAAATTTTAAGGTGGAAGGAGATACAGTCACCTTCTCCTTTGAAATGCGGAGTGGTCGTGAGCACAACACTCCAGACAAAGCCATGTGGGGCTTTGCGTGCACTGTTCGAGCACAGGTACTCAAACGTGACACATCCACCGTGTAGCTTCAGCTTGTCTTCTGCCTGTTCCATGCTTCAAATGAAATAGGAACGTACTTCAGAGATGGGAGTTAACTTTGGAAATCTAAAACAGTAATAGCTGACCTATTTTGGCAATAAGACAAATGATCTTTTCACAATGTAAAGGACCTGAGTTCTAGACACTTCTAGCTTCCGTAGAGGTGCCCTGTGGCATGATCTGCAGCATGCTGAAAGTTTTATGGAGATAGTTATTACCAAATTTGTCTTATCTATCTCTTGGCATTGGCACTGGACTTGGAGGAAGTCACTTTAATATCTCTTGCTGCTTGTAGATCAGAATTTCTTTGAAGAGATAGGTATCTTGTAACAACCCAGAAATTGGAGATTTAATGAGGGAGTAATGATTCCATCTTGTAAAGAGAGGGGAGGGACACTGGGATCAAACAAAAGGAAACTTGAATCCCACTGCTGGGAAGCTAGGACTAGGTCTGTGAAATGACAGATCTGCAGGCCAGAAAATAACTGAACCAAAAATAACTTTATCTTTTTATCTTTTTTTGGTTCAGGAAAATAATGTTTAAATCCTTTGTTTCTTGTCTTGAGTCGTTCTTATATATTGCTTTAAATTGTTAAAGCATTTTTGCAGTGTACCTCTGTGCAAGAGACATACGAGAGAGAGAGAGATCTTATTATATATAAAAATATAGAATCTCCTATCTTGAAATATATTGGGGAAGGACTTTTTGGTTGAATGATCAGTGCAACTTACCACTATTGTTACTACAGGAGTCCTCAGAAGATGTGTCAGGAGGCTTGCCGTTCTTAGTTGACCTGGCACTCGGCCTGTCTGTGCTAGCTTGTTCTATGCTGCGAATACTGTACAATGGACCAGAAATTACCAAAGATGAAGAAACCTGTCAGGAGCTCTTAAGATCTAAACTATTACAAAGGTAAAAAAAAAAAAAAGAAAATTTTGATCTGAGTTCCCATGTGATTTTGTTTCTGAGGGAAGGTGACTTTTGAAGTTGTGCTCAAGTCTTGTGTTTTGAGGTGATTGCTGTGATAATTTTTCCTGCAGAGTTTGTTCAGCACTTGTGTTGCCTAAAACTAAGGAAATATTCTCTAGAAGAGAGGTTGAGTTTAAAGGAGGCTTGGGCTATGCTTGGTACAAGCCACACTTAATATGTAGTCTTTGTAATGTGGTGTTGGCTAATGTGCCTTTCTGAACGAGGGAGGAGAATCAGGAAAAAAAAAAAAATCCTTTTCCTCTGTTCTCGTTTATTTTTCCAGGTGCCAGTGGCAGGTGGAAGCCAATGGTGTAATATCTCCAGCCCTTACACCAAGTCCTTCGCCATTGCCCCTTACTATAGATGAAGATAGAGAATTTACATATCCCTCAGATGTTCTGGTGCCTCCCGTTGGACACTACTTCGATTTGCCCAGGATTAGGCTGCCTCCAGGAATCATGATAAAACTCAGGGAAATTTCTGGACGTGCTCGGCCTCAGTTTAGACCTAGTATAAAGTAAGTAGTCATTATTTTGCTCTCTTTTTCTAACTTGACTCTTATTTTTTGAAATGTCTGATGCTGAAGTGTGTGATTTGAAAAAGCAATGGTAAGGATACAGCATGCCTGTGTGTATTATGGTATGCATTTAATCTTCTGTAAATACTTGTTTGTGAATGCAGCATCTAGTGAATTGTAGGTATGAATTATCAAAGTTTGTCCGTTATTCTTGTTTAATCAGTTTGGCTTTACCTATAACCCTAGGGAAGTGATTCAGCCAGAAGTAATGGAGGAGATGGTAGTTTCATGTGTGATTAAACATTTGAATTTGGTTGATGCGCTCCAGTCCCTGATAAATTTCCAGTATCAGGAAGAACATGCCGAAGAATATGATTTACTTTGTAAAATTATGGGAGAGACTTTTAAGAAGCTAAATGCCATGGAGAGACAATTGCAGGTAAAAACAAAATTACAAAAAAAAAAAACCAAAAACAGAAGGCTTTTTTTGAGAGTAAAGTTGTATTAACAGTATTTTAGAAATAAAGAAATGCAAGATGTACTCATGTTTCTTCTTTTAAGGTCTCTTCTCCTCCTCTAAGATGAACAACTGCAATAAGTGTTATTTTTTGTCTCTTTATTAGAGCGTGGCTGAGCTGGAGCAAAAATGGCAGAATGAGGTAGATGATGCCATGCATGGGAAGCTGGAGAACAATGTCCCATTCTTTTATGATTATCACTTCAATGAGGTAAGCATGATGACTGCTGTGTGTGCTCATGCTTTGTGCTGCTCTCTCAATACATGCTCATCCTTTTCTTTCACCTTGTTTAGAGCAAGATGAAAGAACTAGAACTTCTGTGTTCAATGAAAGAAGTTTCCTTTGATGGAAGTGATCTTGAGAATGTGGTCCTGGCATTAAGGTTAGTAGCTGGCTGTGGAGCGTACCACTTGGACAAGGTACTTAAAAGATGGGCAACTTTCAGTAGCTGTGGAATTTCAGTGAGTTCCAAAGTAGTTATGCTGGGTTAAAATTGCATGCATGCATAAATGGCACCCTGTGACACTTAATGATGTGAAACAGAAGCTGGCACTAAATGTTTCGAAAACATTTTATGTCTAATTCTGTTAAAGGCTGGTAGACCTGTAGAAAGAAAACCATCTTCGGGAGCAGGAACATTCAGATGAACTTCTAAACAGGGATGCTAATACTTTAAAACTTGATTGTCCTGTCTGACTAGCAATAGCTGATTAAATTGTTAGAAACATTTGGGCTAAAAATATTAGTACCTACAGCTACTAGTACTTACTAATAAATCACTTGTTTTTTTCTTTATTTTTTTCTACTTTCTACTTTGGCATAGAATAGATCGATGCTATATGTCTTCTTTTTATTTCAGAAGGCATTAAAACATAACAGAGTTTGCTTCTTTGGTTTTTCTTTCATAATCTTAGGGAGAAGTTTTTTCAAGAGGTGAATTCACTGATACAGAAGACCTCTCATCCCCTAGCAAAAACAAAAACATTAGTTAAGAGCTTGATGAACAGAGCAGAGCTGTTACTACATGTCACTATTGCAGCACAGTCTGGTATCACAAGAAGTATATCTGGAACCCCTGCAGAGACTCCAGGTATGTATCTCATTGCCAGCACTGTACTTTCTTCTTTTCCCCCTTTTTTCCTAAAGATATAATTTATTCTTTCTCTTTTTTTCCCTCTTTCACTAAATTAAAATCAAACTTTTTTTTTTTACTTTTTCAAATTAAATAAGTTATTTTAGAGTAAATGAAGTTGCATTTTTGTTTTCTGATTGCCATAATGATGGTAAATTAAGGTCTGAGTAATAATATGTGAAATTTAAACTTTAGTCCCCCAAATGACTGGGGGGGTTGGGGGGAGTTTAACCTAATCAAAACAAAACTGACTTGAAACAATACCTGAAAACAGGAAAGTCCTCATAACTGAGTTGCAAGTTCTTGCTTAAACTGTGTTTTCCCCACCCTGCGTTATAGCTTTCACCGGAATGTCCGCAGTGACTTTAAAAGCAGTTTTTAAATACCCTCCTACCCCAGGAGTGACACCCTTTCCTATCGTATGATATTGCAGCCTGTAAGTCAGCGTCGGAAGCGAAGGTGATCTCGCACGCAGTCCGCCAGCCCGTCTTCCTTCGCAGCATGTCGGCACCGTCGGACTTAGAAATGATCGGTAACGAAGATATCGAGTTTGCTAGATCAAGTCAAAGGTAGGCAAGGGCTTGTTCCACTCAGCCGCTTCACAGTGGTGTGGCCTGTGTGCTTAAAGTCATCATAAACTTTGCAAGCATGGCACAATTTATTTTTTTTTTTCGTATTGGATCAGCTTACTGCTGCCAGGTGTAATTATCCTGTATCCTCATAGGCGCCGCCACGTTACCAGCCACAGAAGTAGCTCTTTCACTCTTCTCCAGTCACTGACCGTTGAGGATAGCAGAGATAAACCCACCTACAGTGTCTTACTGGGGCAACTTTTTGCCTTCATCGGAACAAATCCCGACCAAGCGGTAAGTCATTCTAAATATGCCAAAGCATTATATTTTCAAATCCAAGCTTTCACAAGGAAGGAAGGTATCTTGCTGGTGTCTCTTTAACAAAAGCAAACAAACACAATCTCGTAGGTCTCCAGCAGCAGCTTTCTGCTAGCTGCCCAGACAAGGTGGCGGCGTGGGAACACGAGGAAGCAAGCCCTGGTGCACATGAGAGAGTTGCTGACGGCAGCTGTTCGGGTTGGTGGTGTGACACATCTCGTGGGCCCAGTGACCATGGTACTTCAGGGAGGACCGAGGTTTGTTTATTTCTCTGAAAATAATTAAAGGTCTTTGTAGAAGTCCCTGTAGAAGATAATAAATAGCTTTGTGCAAAGAAAAACAGCGAGAAGTGACTAGCTGTGAGGGCTCAAGTTTGCAACAAGAGCTTTTATTTGCCCTTATGGGGTAAAAAGACAGAAGCTTCTAAGAAATGCTTTTACTTGGCAGTAGATGAACATCCCTTTCATACTGGGATGACGTGTCCACAGATATGTATGTAGAGTATCTTACTCTCCTGACTTAATTCTAAATTCAATTCTAAACTAAGTAGGTATTAGTGGTAGATTTAGCTGCTACTAATATTGTCATTTAAATTTGATAAATATTTTGTCAGTATTTTATTTGTAGTCCAATTTCCAATTTCATGTCTGAGGTAAAACTACCATACTGTATTGTTTATGTATGTTTCATATTAAAATATCGTGACTTGCAGTTTTGCTTCTAAATCTTCCTTGGTTAATTCTTAAGTTGTGCTGATTTGTTTTAATTTTTTCAAGCTGTATTTGGAAGTTTGTTTATTTTATTTAACCCCGAAAGCCTGCCATCTCAAATATCTAACTACCAACAGAATTGAAGAGCTCACATGTGGCGGGATGGTGGAACAAGTCCAGGAAGCTTTCGGAGAGACTATGACATCTGTGGTCTCGCTGTGCGCACGCTACCCCATTGCTTGTGCAAATAGCATTGGCCTCTTATGCACCATACCTTACACAAGGTATGAAAGTATTTCTTTTGGAAAGGGAAGGAGGGAACCCACAGCTGTCTTTTTTAGGTTTTTGCCTTAAGGAGAAGCATTATATAGTATAAATATACTCCCTTTCTTCATAATGAGGCATATCTGAGAACATCCTGTTAAATTTTCTCAGAGTACAGAATTGCATCTGGGGAGGACAAGAGAGACAGAACCATCTAATGGCTTTAAACTGAGAGAGGGCAGATTT